TATATATATATATACATACTCGCGAGCCGTGGCCGCGGTCGTTTTTTTTTTGTCAAACGATATTTATTATTATGTCTTATACTGGGCTTGCGTCTTCCTGTCGACAAGTACATACCTCGTCCTAACAATATAAAAAAAGCTGTAGTACACAACGTATATCCGTGTGTGAAAAAAAAACCAATGCTCCGTTCTATCGATATATCAACGTATTGGTAATACAAATAAGTTTTCGCCGTTTTCAAAAGATGGCTCTACCGACAAGATTACTTTGAAATCGTCAGATGTAAAACATCATATAGAAAGTTTGGACACCTGGCAACAATATAACCTTAAAATACTATTGACTTTGTATTGGCAGGAAAAATTTTTTCGTTCGAAAATGTCGAGTTTTGTACCGAATAAGCGTCATTTGCGGGAAGTTTTGATTTATTTCTTTCATTTAAAGAAATCTGCTGCTGAGGCGCCATCGGTCGCTTGTAGAAGTTTACGGTGATGCTGCTTTAAGTGAGAGAAGTTGTCGTGATTGGTTTCCAAAGTTTAAAAACGGCGAGTTTGACGTGGAAGATAAAGAACGCAAAGGAAGGCCAGTAAAGTTTGAAGACGCTGAGTTGGAGGCATTATTGGACCAAGACTCATACCAAACTAAAGAGCAGCTCGCAGAAAACTTGGGAGTGACTCAACAAGCGATTTCAAACCGTCTCTAGACCATTGGTATGGTACAAAAGCAAGGAAATTGGGTTCCTATATATATATATATATATATACACGTTGATATATCGATAGAACGGAGCATTGGTTTTTTTTCACACACGGATATACGTTGTGTACTACAACTTTTTTTATATTGTTAGGACGAGGTATGCACTTGTCGACAGGAAGACGCAAGCCCACTATAAGACATAATACTAAATATCGTTTGACAAAAAGAAACGATCGCGGCCACGGCTCGCGAGTATGTGGTACCTGTAACGATCCAGTCGATTTCCATAGGTCGGAATCCCCCAAGCCCGGTGAGAAAAAAGAAAAGTCCAAGAAGAAGGAGCGGGAGCACCGGAAAACCGAGGTCATATCCTCCGACAGTGACTCCAGCGAGGATTCCGACGACAGCAAGTAATTATCTGCTAACAATAACATATTAGTATGATTCATTCTCAACTCTGAATTGAGAGGAAAGGTTAAACAAGTCGCGGCTTGAGATACAAATTATGATTACTTGGTGAAAAGTTGAGATGATGTCATACTTGAAAATTTGGCCGGCAAAATGCTGACTTTTTCTGCAAAGTTTACGCCGCATTAGCTGCACGGAGTTATGTATACGAACAGTGAAAATATGTTACAATTATCTTAATTCTAAAATTCGTTTAATTCTAAATTTCGAACACGAAATAACGAATATGCATTCACGCAGCTGGTCCGAGGCGGAGTCGAAGAAAAAGAAGAAACTGAAAGTCGGAGGAAAAGACTAACATGAGGTACGGACATGGTGTTTTGAACGAAAGGTTAGGCGTAATCTTTTATCTATC